TCGTTCTTCTCATTCGTTGGACCGGGTTTAGTTAGACAACTATGAGTATTCCTTTTCTATTGTCGTTGTTACTTTACTGTTAGGATATTATTGCTAAATATTACCATGTTCATGTTATAGTTGTGGTTTTTCCAATTTCTCCCATATAGTCGTTTAAATTGCCGTTCAGGCTCAATTATGTGAGAGAATGTATTGATGTGTTGATTATGCTGAGTAAGTGTAAAGTTTTCTCTATAGACGGTTTTTGTTCACAGTAAAGACAAGAAACATCAGGATCAGTTTTGTGATCCAATTAAATAGGTTATTGTAGGAAGCGTTCTCACGAGAAAGGAAAGCGGAGATCATAATGGAGGTGTACAATCAATGATAAGCAAAACTATTAACTGCACTGCTGATTTCTGCTCATTTTCGCTCCTCAGGTGGCTTTTCTTCACCATTATGAGCCTGGGATGGTCACACATCATAAATGGAGTTCAAATGGGTTATTGGAATAGCACATAATGCGGGATAGCGCTTGCGTTAAAGTGGAGCTCTCAACGGCGCTGCACAGCGGTGCGATGAAGTCGAGGGCCTCTGTTCCCCACAGATGTGGAATAATAACCTCCTCGGTTATACTGATCGGTATACGATAATCCTTTCACTTATTTATTTACGCTAACTCTGCGATCACCCTAATCCTCAACAATAACCCTCACAGTTACCCTGTAGTCCTTCGGATTTGCCTCCTCACGGAACTACTTGAGCTGCATGGGCAGCTCCTTATATGCCACTAGTTTCCCGCCACCGCCTAGCTGGCCTTTAGATCAGAGGAATGATAATCATCCGAAGATCTCCGCGGATCATGCTCACTATACCATCAACAGAGACGTTTCAGCTGTTCTACGAGTGAGTGTGATAGGAACGACTCAAACTCCAACTTGCGTGGATAGTTGTATTTTCGATCAAATGAATTATCAGGTATTGAGGCCAGTGGAATTAAAGTAGCTCATATCTGAAAAATATGTTGATTCAGTTTCATGTACAGGATTTTTCAAACTTTCCTAGCTATGTTTGCAAAGCACTGTCAGCGTCAGGCTGCCTCTCGGGGAAACACGAAAAACCGGCTGAGAGCATGTCACATCAGATGAGTTCCAATGTCTAATAAGGAATTTGATAAAAGCTAGGTGTAGCCCGGAGCGACGCGCACACGGGTGCGAACAGTGGGCAAGGGCCACCTTTAACAAGCGGAGAAGAATAGCTCCTTGAAAGCAACTATGCGAAAACTCAGAGAAGCTCGATTAGCCACCGTCAATGGAGCTCTCACCGGACGACATTAAGAGTTGGCAGATTTCCTAAGAAGACGGCAAGCGGATATAGCTTGCGTACAAAAAAACGATGGAAAATGAAAATGACGCGATATTAGAGATGGTTATAAGCTTTACAATGGCACGACCAGCAGTCGAAATGGAGTAGGTATAGTTGTCACGGAAAGCCTGAAGCAAGATGCCTGCCGCAATTCAGACCAATTAAGGATCGACGCATGAGCAGAAAAATAGGGCAATCCTCCAAATTATCACCGCCTATGCTTTGCATGCTGATGGAAGGAGGAAGAAAAGAGTAGGAGCCGAGAGCTAGCAGGAGCTCAGTGATAACATTACATCCATACCTCAGGATGAGATACTCCTGGGAGAGAAATAGTGTGGGAAAGTATTACGGGAACCGCGAATATGGGACATGCAATAAAGAGAGCGAGCGCATTCTTGTTGCGATGGCCTACAAACTAGCATTAGTCAGCAACATCAAGAAGCATGAGCACCTGATTACGTATTCAAGTTGAGATCGTCAACAAATTGCCTACTGGGCAGTGCTTTACAATAAACTAATAAATATAAATTGCAAAGTCATTCCAGGTGAAAGCCACACAGCATTACCCACTACTGCTAGACCCAAAATTCTGATTGAAAGACAAAGAAGACCTATTACCAACAATAAAGTACACAAAGTACAAGTAAAGTGATGGAAATTGAAAGGAAAATGTCTGCCCAGGATGCTCAAACACTTTACTAATCTTAAATGAAAAACCAGAGAAGTCACGGTCAACTTTAAAGCAACTGTCAGATAGCAAGGATTTACTGGGTCTACTAAACCAGAAAGAAGAAGGGTCAATAAAGAAACTTGGTGGTGGAAGATGAAGTTCAAATAGGTAAAGGAAAAGGGTCAAGTACAAACAATGGCATAAAACTGTGGAGTGACCGACAGATGCACTTAATGAAGCAGCTGTAAAAAATTTGTTTAGAGCAAAAAGGCATACGTAGGGGAGATGTATAGGAGATTGTCTCATAGAGCGAGAAATATATCGACGCGAGTAGGAGAGCGAAGTCCTCAAAAGATATGGAACACTCTTACCATAGCAAGGGCAAGCTTGGAAAAACGTAGAAGCCTGAGCTTGTGTTCTTAATTTCGCGTATTCGGCCAACATTCACTGCCATACAGCGCTGTGGAACGGATCACAGTACGGTATATTTGGGGATTCGAGCTGCACTGGCATTTGCTTGTTGCAGAGAGCTCCTGTGAAGGTTGTCCATTTCATCCAAGATGCGTTTATTCTGGCAGTTTTATCCTGAAGACCTCCTTCGCCAGAGATGCAACTCCCCAGGTACTTGAAGGTACTCGCTTTCTTGATTAGCTTCTCATCGATGTATATGGTTTCTGAAGTTCGACCTCCCACTTCCATATATTCTGTCTTCTTTGTGTTGAGTTTGGAGCCATACGACCCTAATTGATCCTTCCATCTTTGTGTTTCTTCTTCAAGTTCTTTTCTGTTTTCTTCCATCAACACCACATCATCTGCATACAGGAGAGCCCAGGGAGGCTGTCGCAGACCTTCCGTCACTGCTTCCTTGACTGTGATGAAGAGTAGAGGAGAGAG